GCGCGCGCAGGCTTCGGGATGCCGGCAACTCTCCCCAAGCAGCGGGAACGTTCCCGCTGCTTGTGGAGAGATCCGCGAAGCCTGGGCGCGCTGAGATCAGCGCGCGCAGGCTTCGGGATGCCGGCAACTCTCCCCAAGCAGCGGGAACATTCCCGCTGCTGGCGGAGAGGTCCGCGAAGCCTGGACGCGCTGATGTCAGCGCGCGCAGGCTTCGGCATGCCGGCAACTCTCCGCCAGCAGCGGCAGCGCTGCCGCTGCTTGCGGAGAGGTCCGCGAAGCCTTGGCCGGACAGCTTTTGAAGGCTGGCGGGGGGCAAAAGTCTTTGTCCCCCCTGCCTGCCTTTCCAGGGGCTTTTAAATCGCCCCGGACAGCGGAGAAGTCCTCCGCTGTCCCGGGGCGATTTTAAAATGCCGCCCGCCAGCATTTTAAGATTGCCCCGGACAGCGGAGAAGCCCTCCGCTGTCCCGGGGTTTTTTAAAATGCTGGGGGTGGGAAGAAAAGCCCTTGTCCCCCCCCCAGCCTTCAGAAGAGGTCGGGGGACAGACTGTCCCCGGACCTGGTCTGAAGTCGGTTTCCCTAGGAACGCATTAATTGATTTTCAATGCATTCCTATGGGAAACCGTGCATCGCAAGACGAAAAACTCGCAAGAAGAAAAAACTTGCGGAACGAATTAATTTCGTCTTGCGAGGCACCACTGTAAGGTATTCGTGCCCTAAATCTTAAGTTGTATTATGAGACTTTCCAATTAAAAGTTGACACATATGATTTGACAACTCGGCTTCAACTCTTATGTGTCAAAATGGAACTGGAACCCTCTCTAAACGCCTTAACATTCCTGAAAACTTATTGAGCATGCATTAACAAAATAAGTAATGTGACTCTCCAAATATGGTGTAAATGGCAATCTTTAGCTCTGATTTTCGACCACCTGGCCTTTTGCTTTAATGCTAAATATCACCAGTTCCTATTTTGGAGAAAAAGGAAAAATCTGTACAATTAAATATATTTTGCCCAAAAGTCAACCTATTTCGGAAAGCTCACTTAAGGACAAATTAAAATATGTCTCACTAGAAATCTAACATATCCCCCTCTCGGGAGGAGTGGTTTGGAAGAATTTGGGACATTGCAGAACACCTAACACAGCAAAGGAAAGCACTTAGAGGTGAGTCAAAAATAGACTTGTTTTCATTTGATGTGGCACACTTTTCCTCTGTCACCTCAGATGCAAAAACCCACCAAACCTCCACAATTTCCTAGGTTACGATGTGGAGAGGTTTCATAAAAGTTTAGCCTGCTTTCTTATTCCTCTCCCTGTATGTTCTATTTATGATCGCTTTGTAAAGTTGCATTGCATGCTTATGCAACGTCCTGGTACACCCCCCCCCCCCAAATTGTGGTGTTTTATTGCTGTCCCATTAATTGGGAAAAGTCTATGTAACTTGTGCTTCTCCTAACAAAATGACAATGAAGATCTTTCTTTCTTTCTTTCTTTCTTTCTTTCTTTCTTTCTTTCTTTCTTTCTTTCTTTCTTTCTTTCTTTCTTTCTTTTATCGAGATCTGGCTTAGTCTAGTGTATATTTCCCATCACTCCCACTATTGCTTTAAATCAGGGGTTATGAACATTTTTCAACCCCTTTCAGAGGGCCATATGTCAGTGTTGGGCAGGACCAGAGACAAAAGCGGGTAGAGTAGTGGGTGTCAATTTTACCTTTACACACTTGTACAGCCTTCCATATCATTCAACCAACCAACCAAGCAAGTAGTATCAGCATTCAACTCATTTCAGCCAGATAAAAGCACTCAACTAGGCTGCAAAGGAGTCCAAGTATGGGGTGGGGTCTCTGAGAATACCACACAGCACTGGCCATCTTGAGACAAAATGTAGTGTTTGTTCATGCAGCTGATACATTTGCAAAGATTGAGCCCAAGCAATTCATGCAGTACCTGAAGCTAACACACAACATGAACAGGTGGAACAGATCCTAAGCTAAGCCACTGCTTGATACCCACACAGCTTCTCCCACCAATGCCAGTCAAGTTGACCACCATGCGTTAAGAGGTGCACTCTCTTTAGAACAGGCATGGCCAAACTTGGTCCTCCAGCGGTTTGGGGACTACATTTCCCATCATCATCCCTGACCACTGGTCCTGTTAGCTAGGGATGATGGGAGTTGTAGTCCCAAAACAGCTGGAGGGCCAAGTTTGGCTATGCCTGCTTTAAAAGGACTAAACCTGGATTAGATGATCATGCTTTTCATGTAATTATTAAAATTGGTTGTTGGAAGTTTTCCTCATATGGTGATGCATAATGAGCTAGCTTTTCCATCAGCCATAAAAAGCAACCTCTCCTCTGATTCCAGTCTCGCTTTTGGGGAGAGGCAAGATATCTTTGGTTTTCCCAGTAGTGATGTATGGAAGTGAGAGCTGGACCATAAAGAAGGCTGATCGCCGAAGAATTGATGCTTTTGAATTCTGGTGCTGGAGGAGACTCTTGAGAGTCCCATGGACTGCAAGAAGATCAAATGTATCCATTCTGAAGGAAATCAGCCCCGGGTGCTCACTGGAAGGACAGATCGTGAAGCTGAGGCTCCAATACTTTGGCCACCTCATGAGAAGAGAAGACTCCCTGGAAAAGACCCTGATGTTGGGAAAGATTGAGGGCACAAGGAAAAGGGGACGACAGAGGACGAGATGGTTGGACAGTGTTCTCGAAGCTACAAACATGAGTCTGACCAAACTGCGGGAGGCAGTGGAAGACAGGAGTGCCTGGTGTGCTCTGGTCCATGGGGTCACGAAGAGTTGGACATGACTAAACAACAACAACAAAAGATATCTTTTTGCATGGCTGTGCTGCCCAAGGCTAATGGGAGTGGTGGTCCAAAATATCTGGAGGACACCAGGTTGTTGAAGGCTGCTCGAGCAGAGCTTTCCCCTTGCATTTCTAATTGTGAAAGTGCAATGAAACTATCCATGAGACAACACAGGTGACCAGATGTTCACATCACATGCTAATTCACCAGAGATGCTGGGGATCAAATCCATGACTTTTTTGGTAGAAACTGCAAAGTAGCATGTGCTCTACCACTTTAGCCAAGTCCCCCTTCAATTCTCCAGGTTGCTCAGCAGAGGAGGAAACTAGGAAGGTATCTCCCACAGAACAGTGTGGAAAATAACTGAAGACTTTGTTCAATGCCATTAGTAAGACATGTTGTCTTTCACTGTTGTTGTGTTGTTTTTTTTTAAAAAAGAACGCACTCTTTTTGCACAATTATTTTGGTTGTTGAACCGATGGTTGTCCACTCATTTTAAAGGGGATAGAAATGGCTGGTGATGCTGAATTGCTGCTGTTTAGATTTTATGCTCTGGTTTTGCATGGTGCATTTGGAATATTTTAGAAGTGTGAGCTGCGAGCTGTTGTAAAAATCCTGCAGGCTACCGGGACATAAATTTTAGTAATAAATAAACCCATTAATGGGGCATCTTAAATGGCTGTTTAGCAGGTAAGGAAACTTCCTTTTGAGGATTGTCAAACTGTGTCCTTCCCCACGTGATGATAGTCCTTTCTATCTGAGCAAAAAGTTTTTGAGGATTCTTGGGTTGATCGTCATTTCAGATACTGATAATGAAAATAGTTTTGATAGACTAAACTGTCCTGAAATAGAGTATTAAATGGATCATTTCCTTAACTGGATGTAGTAATGGTTAATCCCACTCTTCCCTATTATCAGTTTCACAATGTGAAACATTCCACCTGCTCTACCAGTTGAAATAAATTAACAGGAGGACAAAATACTTGACCTTTTAATTAAGGGAACTGTTCTTTCTATAGATCATATCCAGCCTAAAGAATTGGTTGTCTTCTCTCTTACTTTTAAACAGTCAAATTTAAAGGGTTATTATCACACAGTATACTGTAAAACTATATTGCTTAAGAACTATGGAAACAGGTCACTGATTAACATTTTTATCTCCTGGTCCTCCCCCCCCCCCCAAGCCACTGTTTAAAATATTGCCATTTTATTTTGAAAAGGGTTATTGCACTGAACTTCAATCTGTATGATAAATGAATTTGTAATTATAGGAAGCTCACAAGATTTAGCATATAATTGCTATTTGCCACTAGCCATTTATAAAAGCAAGATAACATCTTCACTAACTTTCAAGACTATTTCCCCCTTTAGCATGGAGTGGGGAGTTAAATAAGAGAAGTCTTGGATCTCTGGAGAATGGTAGCTATTTTGCATTTGGGGAAATGATGGCAGATCTAAGAACATGTCAAAGAAAAATAGGTCAGCGACTAAGGGTACGTGAAGTGGTATGCTTCAATGACACACTGAACAGTTTTTCAGATATCAAAACGGTTAATGCTAAAAGCTTTAGGAGATTTTTTTATATTTTAACCGTCAAAGTCGGATTAATTATATTTTTTGTATTCATGTTATTATAACTCTTATTCCAGACGGAATTCACTCTTCCATTGACTACAGTTAGTACCAAGTGGCAGAAGCTATAATAAAATTAGTTTCAGACTGTACACCTTTGATATCGGAAGGGGAATTAACATGCCTATTTTATATGAACTCCATTGGCTGCTGACTAGTTTTCAGGCTAAATTCAAAGCGCTGATGCTTACCTTTAAAGCCCTTTCTAATCAGAATCTGGTATATTTGAGGAAACTCAATTCTTGTTCAAGAGTGGAACTATTGTCTTAGGGCCCCCAGCCTTTTTAAGAACAAGATTCCCCCAGATATAGTCTTTAATCTCTGGAACAGACTCTTCACTAGAGTACCATACAATACTATAAAATGGGCACCTGTCTAGACAGTTAAAGAGTTTTCCTTTGGGGCAGAGTCTCATAAACAATGCCCCTTTGCCTTTAGTTTTTTTATGGCTTTATGCTGCAATTTTTCATTTGTTCACACTGCTTTGGAGAACCTGGATTGAAAAGTGGATCCAAAGTAATCAAGTAAGAGAGAAAAAAAAACTAATTTCCAGAAAGTATTTAATAAAAATGGTTTATCTGCATTTTAATTTGTGTTAACATCCGCAGGAACATTTTATTTACAAATATACAGACATTGCTCATGGTAAGATTCTTACTGAAGAACTGGTCAAAACGTAATTTACAAAACCCCCAAAGGCTTATTTTATCAAAAGGAAGTTTGACGTGGAAAAATCATTGAAGTTCCAATGAGATCTTCTGTACACAACAAGGATGTCAGCTCCTGGAACTCTGTTGTTGGGAACCACTGGAACCAAGTTTCCTTCTGTACACGGTATTCTGAAGAGTCCCTCCTTCTGGTCTCAGGAGGCACTAGTTGGGATGTTTTTGGAAGCTGCGAGCATTGCCCTCACCTTGGCCATAAGATCCTGCAACGAATACAGGAAACATTGAGAGCTTTTCAGAAAAGTCGTGCTGAGGATGTTTACATTGTACACAGCAAGAAAAGTCAATGTGGTGGCTCCCATAAGCCCCAACCAGCAGAACCAGCCGTCAGGGATGATGGGAGCTGGACCCCAGGAACATCTGGAGAGTAACATGTTGGCTACCTCTGATATAGAGACAGAAATTGCATGTACCATACAAAAAAGGAGATTTTCTCAATTGATAAAAGGCAAAATGTAGAAAAAGTAATACAAAGGGTGTTCCAGGCATTTTCCTGAACATACAAACCTGAATTTGTGAACAGGTCTTCCCTTTGTTGAGCGGGAAGGTCTGCTGGTGGTTTGTTCTTGTGTTTGCCTGAACACCAGCAGAACACTGCACATGACTGGAGACCCTGATATATCAGGGCTCCCAATTCACGAGACGTCCTACATGAGTACCAGCCCCCTGCAGATCTTCCCCACTCAACACAGGGAAGCTGGGAACCTGAGTAGCTGGGGACCACAAGTGTGGGTAAACTGACGACAGGGCTTGTATGCGTGGCCCTAACCTTCCAGCACCTGAACTTGCATACAGAATTTCTTGGCAAAGACACAGTTTCTAAATCCTGAGGCAAACAGGTGAAATGTGGAGGACTTAAAACGTCCACTGTAAAGTGAGCTATTCCAGGATGCCGAGAAGCATTTTCAAACAAATTTCTAAAGAAGCCAAAGGCACTGAATTGCAACTCCGCTTGCACTTTATGCAGGAGATATCCCAGAGCACAATGTAATATTTTAGGTAAACTGAGAACTGTGGCAGTCTTAAATTACTCACTTGCTATGGTCTGAAAGGTCTAAATTACTCACTATGGTTTGAAAGAGCCACACTTTTACTGAAGGCAGAGAAATAGGCTGCAGGACACATATGCATGATGGTTTATTTCAGGGGTGAGGAACCTGTCTTTATGGGTAATACTGGCGTGCCAGTGGGTCCAATTTCTCTTTCTGCTCTCTCCCACCTGCCCCTTTAAATATCTGAACAGATGAGCAAGCAGGTGGCGGGTGGGGAAGATGAAAAAATATGCTGTACACTGAAAACACCCCCCACCTCCCACATGCTAAGGGCTCTGCAAGTCTCCCCATGTTTCCCCTTTAAACCTCATAGGTTTAAAGAGGGAGTGTGGGGAGACTCTGAAAGCCACACAAGGCTCTCCAGGATTGGGCTGCATCTCCTTTAGAGGAGTTAATTCTCTTAATCAAAACTCCACCAAGTTCTATCCATTTAAGTATAAAAGGATCACATCTAACAAAAACAGCAAGCAGAACGCTGCTTGTTCAATAATTGCACTCTTGAAAAATGACACAAATTATTAAAAGCACCAAACACAATTTCTCAAGACTAACATATTAAGAGAAATTCAAATATCCGTTTAGGAGCTATCCTGCCGAGTCAAATTAAATTTGCAATAAGCAAAACAAAAAGATGCATTTTTAAGACAAGTGAAACTGAACAGTGTGATCACAGAATTATTGTTTTCTTGACTATATTGCGTGAAGGAAATTGAACACATTCTATGCACTTTGCTTAGCGTGCCGAAGGCTAGATGTGATGATTCAAGGCACTGCACTAAAGTGGTGACCCACAACGAAGTAGGGGGTGCTCTTATTATACCCAGATCAGTAAACAAACCTCATTGTATCTTTTGACAGTGCAGTGGTTCTTGCACTATTCTAGTTAACAACATATTATAATTATTTCCAAAGTACTCATCAGCTTTAATTAGAAATATTCTGTAAGTTTACAAGTAGCAAAATGCTTATCACCATGATGAACGGGAGGGAGGGAGAGAGGGGGTCTGTGAAGTGATGTGTGTGTGATGCAAGGACTCACAGGGAGGGGTTGCAGCAAGCTGTGCCAGGTAGAGCTGGATTTGCCATGGTTGGGGAAAGAGAATTTTGTCCAAGTGCAGTGGTTTGCTTCTCCCAAGCAGGAGACTGGAAGCCACTTTCATATATGGGAAGAAGGGGTGCATGTGCTGGACACGGTTGGGGGCTACACCCACTCTGTTTTCCTCCCCTCCCTGTGATCCAAGCCATTGATAATCAAGCTTACCTTGCTTTTTGGTCAAAACTACAGTGACTCAAGAACCTTGGGAAAGAGGCTGTGGGGCTGGGTACCTTTAACCGATGATCATTACAAAGACTTTGCTCTCTCTGTGTGTGCATGTGAGTGCTGGAGGGTATTTGTGGAAAAACAAGGGTCTGTGGATGGGTTTGAAGAAGGGAAGGGAAGGGAAGGGAAGGGAAGGGAAGGGAAGGGAAGAGAAGAGAAGAGAAGAGAAGAGAAGAGAAGAGGACACTATACAGTCGGGAGAGAATTCCAGGTGTAAAAGGCAGAAAAGGGGAATGGGAAGAGTCATTCAAGGGAGCAATTCCAGAGACTACAGCTTTGTAACAAAACAGGTTTAAAATCTGGAAGTATATGCTGATTACATACCATTTGCAGTGCTCTTTTCAATACTGAAAACAGCAATTCAAACAAAATGCAATGTGAGCATTACAAAATTGAGACAATTTAGTAATCATTACTAAATGGAACGTTTCAAGTGGTACCTGAGTTATTTTACTCTGCACTGACGACACAATCGCTGAAGAGATCTGGCCGTCTTTTTCCAAAGAAACGCCCCTAAAAGAATTTTTAAAAGGGGGACATTCAGTCAAGACAATCAAGTAATAGACAATTAATGCACAGATATAATATCCAAATACTTCAAACATGAAAAAATCCCCAAGTGAATGAAATGTATTGGCTAAGAGAATGAGCTTTAAGTTCAAATCTCAACTCTGCCATGAATTCAGCAGAAAGTCTTAACAAGCCCCTCAAAGCCTGTCATCCCACTGCCTCCCTGTCCCCGTATTGATGATACTAGTCTGCCTTCTAGGCTTCTTGTAAAGATTAATGAGACAATTGATGTGGGTAGCTATGAGTAGTCAGGTTAAGGTTTAAGTAAGGCTAAACATAATTGGGTATCATCAAATGGAGGTGCCATGATTTAAAACGTATCTAGATAAATGGAAGCCGTTCTGAGCTATGTGAATTCTCTCATCCTTGGTGTATTCTCATAAGCGGTTTATGACTGCAGTTGGTGCTAAGTTACCATTCTCCCCATGCACTTGAGAGATATGTCAAATTCTCTCAGCAGCAGCAGCAGCTCATTGGAGTGACTTGCAACATCCTAGCCCAGCATCCAGTGCTCTCTCATTCAAAGCAGGAGAATAGAAAAACAAAACAAAACCCATCACTATGGAGAACCTAGGGATTAAACCACGATTAAACTGTGATGAATCCAGTGAGGTGGTTGTATTCACAGGACAGAGGCTAAGCATTTCATCCCTAAAATTAATGCAAGGAGAAGCTGCAGTTGCTTGGAAACAGTAGGTATAGATATGCTCATGAAAAGTGAACTACAGGCACACCTTGGTTGCCGAACGCCTTGGAACTCGTACATTTTGGCTCCCGAAGGATCGAAAACTGGAAGTGAGCGTTCCAGTATTTGAACGATTTTCAGAAGCCAAATGTCTGGCGCAGCTTTTGATTGATTGGCTGCAGGACACTCCTGCAGCCAACTGGAAGCCGCGTCTTGGTTTTCGAACAGTTCTGCAAGTTGAACCGGCTCCTGGAACGCATTCTGTTCAAGAACCAAGGTATGACTGTATTTGACTTCTGACTGAAGAAAATCCTTAATTAAATGCTATCATGCAAAAAATAAAAATTCTTGCAAGTAGAAAACTGGCACATCATGGAGAAGTGCTGGTTTTCCACTTGCAAGAAGTAGTCTGCTGTTGGAACTTTAAATCCAGGAGAGCTTCCAAAAATTATGACGCCTCGCCTGCTGCACAACATTATACAATCCTGCCTCATTTGCTGTGTGTATGAATCCTTCTGTATTATCCTGCTAAGAAGTAAAAAGGATCAAGTCACTGCCCTGGTTCCTCAAATTTCCCATCAACAGTCTAGCTGCAGTGTTTTGCATCAGGGAAGTGCCAGTGTATAGAATTTAGAAAGGGCTCATTACCCAGAACGTTCTTGGCTGGATCCCCTACTCTCCACAGGAGAGACACTGGCTGAATGGGTGGAGTTCTTATGTGCAGATTGTTTGCCTGGAGAGATGGATGGCGAATGAGACCTCGCTTTGGACTTGGTGTGGGAGTGAGATCTCCTTTTCTTCTTTTCATGGGGACTTCTGGGGAAAAAAGAGAAAATAATATATTAATATAAAGCTGTGCTATCAAGCTATAGAAAGAATGTAATTTCCCAGGTCTTTTCAGCTCCACCGAAACAAACACTCATTCTCTGCATCAAATACATCTCTTTTTTTAATGCCAATGTTAAAATATAGTGAGACCCACAATCCTCCACAAAATATAACTTTAGTTTGTACCCTGAATAATTATTTACCCTTTTCACTTATATAATAAAAACTGCAATGATCATACCTAATCATCTATAAATATTTGGTTTTGCAGATGGTGAAAGAAACTGTAGCACAGAAACCAAAGCCTGCGGCAAGTAGCTGTATCTATAAGCAACTCCATCCCCTCCTGCTGCCTCCATATGGCACAACCCCCTGGTTTCCATGCCCTACTGCAGTGGTCTTCAGCTGGACCACAGCGAAGACCCACCTCTGACTCACAACCTGCAAGATAGACCCACTTTCAAACTTTCACTTTCGGTTTACACTTACTGGTGTTAACGCACTTTATTGATCCTAAAATGGCAATTCACAAAGCAATATACATAGTGTTACCTTAGCATTGCTCCTAAATAAAAACCCAGTGATTTTTTATACTTTATCAAGAAGCAGTGACTTAAAAATAGACCCCCTCACAATTTCAGTGGGATGTCTATGTTCTCTAGATTTCATTCTGGAGAGGGATGGTATGTAGTCTACCTTGATTTCAGCAAGGCATTTGACAAGGTGCCCCATGATATTCTTGTAAAGAAGCTGGTAAAATGCGGTCTTGACTATGCTACCACTCAGTGGATTTGTAACTGGCTGACTGACCGAACCCAAAGGGTGCTCATCAATGGTTCCTCTTCATCCTGGAGAAGAGTGACTAGTGGGGTGCCACAGGGTTCTGTCTTGGGCCCGGTCTTATTCAACATCTTTATCAACGACTTGGATGATGGACTCAAGGGCATCCTGATCAAATTTGCAGATGACACCAAACTGGGAGGGGTGGCTAACACCCCAGAGGACAGGATCACACTTCAAAACGACCTTGACAGATTAGAGAACTGGGCCAAAACAAACAAGATGAATTTTAACAGGGAGAAATGTAAAGTATTGCACTTGGGCAAAAAAAAATGAGAGGCACAAATACAAGATGGGTGACACCTGGCTTGAGAGCAGTACATGTGAAAAGGATCTAGGAGTCTTGGTTGACCACAAACTTGACATGAGCCAACAGTGTGACGCGGCAGCTAAAAAAGCCAATGCAATTCTGGGCCTCATCAATAGGAGTATAGCATCTAGATCAAGGGAAGTAATAGTGCCACTGTATTCTGCTCTGGTCAGACCTCACCTGGAGTACTGTGTCCAGTTCTGGGCACCACAGTTCAAGAAGGACACTGACAAACTGGAACGTGTCCAGAGGAGGGCAACCAAAATGGTCAAAGGCCTGGAAATGATGCCTTATGAGGAACGGCTAAGGGAGCTGGGCATGTTTAGCCTGGAGAAGAGGAGGTTAAGGGGTGATATGATAGCCATGTTCCAATATATAAAAGGATGTCATATAGAGGAGGGAGAAAGGTTGTTTTCTGCTGCTCCAGAGAAGCGGACACGGAGCAATGGATCCAAACTACAAGAAAGAAGATTCCACCTAAACATTAGGAAGAACTTCCTGACAGTAAGAGCTGTTCGACAGTGGAATTTGCTGCCAAGGAGTGTGGTGGAGTCTCCTTCTTTGGAGGTCTTTAAGCAGAGGCTTGACAACCATATGTCAGAAGTGCTCTGATGGTGTTTCCTGCTTGGCAGGGGGTTGGACTCGATGGCCCTTGTGGTCTCTTCCAACTCTATGATTCTATGATTCTATGATTCTAGAAAGGCTAACTCCTATCCCCATTTCCTACAGCTAAACTCTGGGGCGTTTTTGTTTTTGTTTTTACGGTTACCACTGTTGAGAAGTCTTGTTCACAAAGATAGGTAGTACCAAATGGCAGCAGATGAATGGCAGCTTCCTGGGTATTCTTTACTAACCAAAATCCAGAACTTCAGTAATGTTAGCTGTTGAACTTCCACTTTTACACTTGTGTAACAAGACAGTTCAATGAATTATTTCTGCAACTCAAAGCTTAACTCTAGTGACTCGTGCACCCACAGTGAATCATGATCAGATCCACTGTGAATCTTCACACATTTTTTTTGAGAGAAATAAAATTTCTTTTGATAGAAGCAAAATTTACTGTATGATCTTCATTTGAAAAAAACGGTGCAACAGTCAGAAACCTGTCAAGGACGTTTCCCAAATAGCACCTCAACCAAAGTCTCAGTATTTTTCTTTGAATGACTTTTTAAAAAACCTAGCCCAAACTGTAAAATTAGATTTGGAGCAGATCTGTGAGCAAAGTGGATCAGAACACTTCTTCTTCCTGTCATAGATGGAACAAAGTTTTCCTGCTCTTCAAAAACTAGTTGTCAATTCGTTGAAACGGACACGCTTTGTTTCTAAATGCCTCAACAGCTTCGATCACTTTCATCTGCTGGCATCTTGCCACATTTCACACACCTTTAATAGTTCTGCCCTCTCTCTGCTCCCCTTTCAGTGAAGCCTGTCTTAGATACAGATCAAGAGGGCAAGTCATAATTATTATGTTTGTATTTTATTATAAAAATAATAATTTGAGGCATCCAACAGGATTCTGTGGTACAGTCATACCTTGGGTTAAAGTCGCTTCAGGTTGAGTGTTTTCAGGTTACGCTCCGCGGCGACCCGGAAGTAACGGAACGCATTGCTTGTGGGTTTCGCCGCTCGCGCATGCGCAGATGCTCAAAATGACATCATGTGCATGCGCAGAAGTGGTGAATCGCAACCCATGCACATGGGTTGCCTTCTGCTTCGAACACAAACGGGGCTCCGGAACGGATCCCGTTCACATCCAGAGGTACCAGTGAATTTGGTTTTTTTTTCCCCCAAGTGAATTTTTATTGTTTTCCTTACATATTCTTTTCCAACAAATTGTAATAGCACCATACATTCCCTTTGACTCTGCCGAGTCACGACCCCCCTCCCTCCCGACAACTGGTATATTTATCCTCTTTCCATCACACACATCATTCTCAAATTAGTACTATTATACATTGGAGGTATTATGTCAATCCTGCTAGTGTCTTGACCTCTTTACAATTCTTCTTTAAATATTCAATAAATTTACTCCAGTTATTTTGGTATCTTTGATCTCCCTGGTCCCGGATCCTCCCTGTCAGTTTGGCAAGTTCTGCATATTCTGTCAACTTCGCCTGCCACTCCTGTATAGTTGGTATATCTTGTACTTTCCATCTTTGGGCCAGAAGGGTCCTCACGGCAGCTGTAGCATACATGAACAAATTTTGAACTTCTATTTTAATTTCTGTTCCTATTAAGCCTAATAGACACGCTTCCGGTCTTTTGGGGAAAGTATATCTAAATATTTTTTTGAGTTCATTATAGATTGCTTCCCAATTTTTTTTTACCTTATCGCAGGTCCAGTGGTACCAGTGAATTTGGCTGTTAACTGGAAGGTTGGTGATTCAAGTGCATCCAGGGCAGGATTCCTGCATTGAAGGGGGTTGGACTAAATGACACTTGGGGTCCCTTCCAACTCTACAATTCTATGAACTTTCCCTCACTTCCTGCATCTCCCCTTCCCTTCCATTTATTTTGCCACTGCATTTCTTTCTCTCACTTTGCCCCTCCCTACCTCCTTGCACCTTTTGTCCTCTGTCACCTGTTCACACCTTCTGCCTTCTCTTTGCCTCCTTCTTGCATTCTCCCAGTCCCTTCTGTTGCCATTCTTGCCTTCTTTCACAATTCTCTACGCTCCAGCTGTCAGCCTGTTGCCTTTCTCTCTCTGCTGACATCTTATTCCACTTTCCCTTCCCACACATTTCAATCATTTCCTTCTCTCACCTTCTTCTACTTTCTTTCACCTGCTGTTGGATTCCTACAGGTATTCACAGCCATTCCGTTCCACTCCTGTGATTAGAACAGAGCCAGCTACAAATCTCTTTCCATCCTCTTCAACACACTAAAATATCCCTCTGACATACATTCACAGCTCTGTGCTCTTTCCTTCTAGCCCACCGGAATATATGAGACTGTCTGAAGTGGGCACAACTGATAGCTGCGCATTCTGGTCCCAGCATAGATACCTTCCAGAAGTTTACAAAGCTGTAGAACAGGGGTCAGCAAACTTTTCTAGCAGGGAGCTGGTCCACTGTCCCTCAGACCTTGTGGGGAGCTGGACTATATTTTGAAAAAATAATAATGAATGAATTCCTATGCCCCACAAATAATCCAGAGATGCATTTTAAATAAAAGGGCACATTCTACTCATGTAAAAAACCTGCTGATTCCTGGACCGTCTGCGGGCCGGATTTAGAAGGCAATTGGGCTGGATCTGGCCCCCGGGCCTTAGTTTGCCTACCCATGCTGTAGAAGCTAGGGATGGGCAGAATATTGATATACCGCCCAAAACCGGTTTGAAGTCCAAATCGTGATTGCGGTCTCATAATTTTTGACCTGGCAATATATTGCGAATCATTGTGTGTGTGTGTGTGTGTGTGTGTGTGTGTGTGTGTGAGAGAGAGAGAGAGAGAGAGAGAGAGAGAATGTAAGCTATGCAAAAATCAAAACGTGGGGGAAACTGTGAAGCCAGCCAATGCATTTCTCAATTGCTCCAGCCCCTGTTAACTCTGCTGGCTCAGCTCTCGTCGGCCTGACACTCCTGTACATCCTAACCCTCTGGTTGAAGGTCTTACTGTAACCCAGTGTGAACTGAGCTTAAGTACATAAAACTAAAACAACTGCAAATTGCTTTCCTGTTTAGTCCTTGCCTCCCCTTCTCTGGTCTCCTCTGGGCTAAATTTGAGATTGTAAGCTCCTTGGGGTAGAGACCTTTTCCACTGCGCTATGCACACTTAAGGCACAATGGAAATTAAGAATAAATTTAGCAAGTGCAAACACCATGGCTTTTCAGTTTGAC